AAGCATCAGACAGGACAAAATAAAACATCTTCTGTCACCTCTTAGCTAAGAAATATCACCTTGCCATAAACAGTCCCATCTTCTAAAGTAGTTGGTATTAAGGGTAGTTATGATGATTTTCAAGTAAGAATCCACTTTCCTCTAATGCTACTGCTTATACTAGAGCAAGTTTCCTGTAAACATCCACAAAACCACCTCAGTGTTATTCTTCAAGTACTCCTTTGGAGTTATGCTTCGCCATTGTATCAACAAAGCCAAAATCCAGGTATATTCAGCACCCTCAGAACATGCATCCCATGTTGACTCATTCTGTTTCCCTGTGGTAAGTTTCAGCTGTTTAAACCCATATGTTGTCTGTTGTACTTACATCACAACTGTACATAAATATTCTTACAACTACAGATAGTCCTGCTATGCCTTCAACATAGAGCTGAGGGCTCCTAGCTGGTAACATACGAAGCTGCAAGAGTACTGACAAGGAGAGATTCAGAGGTTTTAACCTTGAAGAACTTTAAAAACAAGCAATACTTCTAATTTAAGTAAATGCTAAATCTTTGCAGCCTCAGACCAGTTATTTGATCCCAGAATATCTTAATCGTCAAGTTCCCCCTCACAACTGTGATGTCAAACAGAAAGAGGCAAAAGAGGAATTCCTAGAACAGATGAGACATGTTGAGTACCAGTCATTTTCAGGTTAAAGATTAGAGCCATGAACTGGACTTCCACGCCTTCACACCAAGCCACACCCTTGGCTGAACAAAACCACTTTGAAACTGAGGGTTCTCACAGCAAGTGTCAGGTTTAGATGCATCTCTTCAGTACAAAACACATCCAGAACGTAACCGCCACCATGGATGCAGCACTGTCTTAGGAGGAATTCTTTACAGATGACATGTGCTAATACCACACCAGATTGATGCTCCTTTCCCCTCAGCCAAGTAAGAACTAGTAACAGACTCCCTAAATAAGCCTCCTTCTAACCAGAATGAATCAAGCAGTAAATGGAAAGATGCCTCATATTTAATTTAAGGATGAAAAAAAAAAATAAACAGAGCACATGGCCCCAGTAGGAACTGTTCTGCCATGTGCACCAGGCCATGCTCGTTATTCTGAATGGTGATCCACAGTCAGTCATTGTGAAGATCACCTTCTAAATTAGAGCCTGTGTCTATGTTTACTGAAGCCCGTAGGGGAAAAACCCCTACAACTTTCCATATTAATCTATTCTAGAGTAATTTCATGGAAATAATGCTTACTTTGTGTACTCACATAACTATGGGAATGTAAGTTAAGCTACCTAAACAATTCCTCGCTTCTGTATTTGTAAGCCAAATGTCATGAAACCAGCACAGCTAAAAGCCATAGGGAAACCAAATATATCCACCATAACTCACAAGAAATCCTCACCATAACAAAGCAGAGTCACTATCGCAGACATGCATTTAGATTGTTCCATCATTTCACGTGCGGTTGTCTTCACTCACCTGTACTGATGCAAAAGTTTAACAACCTCCTTACACACGACCTCTGCCATGCAAACTTTTAGATTGCCTACCTCTATTCAACCACTCCAAGCGAAGCATTTATTCTTCATATGGTCTGAAGACACAGGAGACACAAGTCAACACATCTAGCTCCATGGCCATGCAATCAGCGCTTCTCCACAGGCCTCTGTTTCCACTGTTACTTCAGAAAAAGGCTTCTGAGAGGTACATGAGTATTTAACTTACATAGCTAGAGTAATCTGCAGTGGAAACCATACACACAGTGCAATACAATCATCTAGTTATTGCTTATGGAATTGCTAAAAAAAGTATTTTGTATTCTCTTAAGAAAGAAGAAAAATGAGATGTTCCTCTTTTCTCTTCCCTTCCTCTAACATCTCCACAAACCAGGTTACACAGTCTCCTAGCCAACTGCTTAAGTGAGAAACATCTTTGCAAACTGGTAGGATTGACAATTAGTTCAAAAAGTAAGAGCTGTTTGATGTGAACTTCCCATTTACTTGGGGCTGGGTGCCAAGTAATGAGTATAGGAGAAAGAGGAAGACATGCACACTTTGGAATACATTGTTTTGGTACCAAGAATAAAAATAAGCTATCACCAAGTTTTTTAAAAAGTCTGTTCTGTACATAGCCATTTTAAAATGGAAAGAAATAACCTGTGTGTCTTACATGCAAGGCAAGAGATCCCATTTTATCCACTGGCTGCCACCTTTATTTCCTCATTTACCCAATCAATTTTCAATTAGTGTGCGCTCTTGAAAGGCTATTGTTTCGGAATAAGGCTCTTTGCTGATGATCCTGGACTCATCATAGTAAGAAAGGAAAGACCACTAAAACTGTCTGAATTGACTGATGAAAGGAAATCTGCACTTTGGCTCCAGCAACAATTGCTGCTCCCTCAGTTCAATTTGAGAACAGCATCAGAAAACAAGCCTAAAATACGTGACAGAAAAAGGAATGGTTATCTTAAGAAAAGCATAAGAAATGCTTATATGAAAAGACACCCTTTCTGATTTACCTACATAAGTGGAGATATCATTCACTGCAGTTCAAAGACAATTAAGTTATAGAAACAACAGATGCTTCAGGAATTCATCACATTCCTTGCCTGTAAAATCAGGAAAACAACATAAAATAAGGAGGTTGAAGGGAAGTTTAAAAAAAGTTCAAAGAATCTTCAATTTACATTTTATATTATACACACAGACAATTAGGGTTAATTTACAGGGAAAAAAGCAATTAGCAAACAATTGCTCTGCTGCAATGGCAGAGTAAATTATGGCTTATTAAAAGACAAAAATTACTCATCATTATATAACTAATGTTATGGTCTTACTCAAGTATTATAATGTGATTTAGTCACTAATACCAGGAAAGAAAAATTCAGAAAACAGAAATTAAAACTATAAAAATATTGGTTTGGTATGCTACAATAAGAAAGCAAAAGTGCTAGGATTGAAACTTTTAGAAAATTTGCAGAAGTGAGTAATGAAATGAAGTGCCAAGGACAAGAGATATTCAGAAGCTTAAGACTACTTTTAAAAACACAGCATCTTTGAGTTACCTAAATTTACAGACTGAAGGAAGGGGCAAGACTGCTAGATGAATCTTAAGGATACCAAAACATTTTTCCCCAATAATGAGAGAGTTAAAGAACATTAAAAAAAACGGGGGCAAGAAACCTAAAGGTAAGTAGTAAAGACTTCACATCATTTTTAATTTTATTATTGTAATTTTATAAACTGTCTAAAAATTGATAGAAATCAAAATATAGCCTTCCCCCAACCAAGGTGAAATCATAACAGTAACTATAGTTACTAAGAAAGACAACTCAGTATTGCCTTCAGGGAACAGACCCACTGTGAGCCAAAGTCGAGCCAAAACTTCCATCCCAACGCAGCACTGCAGAACCATGAGTACATTTAGGGATAGTTGGATGGAACTGTAACCCTCCACAAAGTTTCAAGGATTAATCACTGCTCAGCCACTGCATAAAATACTGCTCTACTTTGAAGTTCCAGTTCCCAATGTCAGACTCCCATGAGCAGTCATCTATTCCTGAATACAGATCTACATCCAGCAGTGTGCCCAGGTGGCCAAGGTGGCCAACAGCATCCTGGCCTGTATCAGGAAT